TTTTCTTTGTAAAAACTTCAATTGAATTTCAATAAAGTTAAAGGCATGGCCTCACCATTAATATTTTAAAAAAAAAAAAAACTAAGAAATATAAAAAAATTTTACCAGAATCATATTTAAATTTGACTCTTTATATATATTTAAAAAATATTTAGGAGCAACTTTTAAAGCAGCTTTCTACTATATTTTTTTCTGCTCTAATAAAAACTGTGATATTTTATTCAAATTAACAGTATATAACTTAGAATATATTTCTAAATTTTATTTTATCAACTTTTTCAAAACTTACCTAGTACTAGAATCTAAAAAATATAAATAGGTATACCCATACTTAAAATCTAATATCTTTTACTTTAAACAAAAACTAATAGCAACTTTTTCTATTTAACACTTACAAAAGAGCTTAGGTATTATGAATTTTACTAAAAAGACTTTTGCATGTTTTAACAAAGTAGAAAATAATACAGCTCAATTTACATACTACTTTTATTGCTATTTAAAAACCTTTATTTTAGCAGCAAAAGACAATGATAAACTTGTAGAATTATAAATAAAAGCCTTAAAAAAAACACTAATAATATTTATACTCTTGCTAGAGTTTTAAAATTTCTATTTTAATACATATAATGACTTACTTTTATACAGAATACTAATACATTAATCTTTCAAAAAAAAGGATAAAGAAAGTAAAAATTTATTTACAACTTAAGAAGAAACTGAAAAAGCATCTAATAATAATATTCTTACCTTTTAAAAGAAAAATATTAATGTTTCTTTTTAATAAAGTCTTCTAGAAACTATATTAATGTAGCTGTCATTTCTAATAGCTTAATATTCTTTATATATAATAGTTTATTTTTAAAGAAGAATAATAACAATAAGCTAGCAGTAAAGCTTGTTATGTATAAAATTATAAAAAACTTCTAATACAATGTTTCTAATACCAATACTTTAACTTTTTTAAAGACAGTTAAGTACTACAACAAATTTCTAAAATAATACCACTTACTTTATTATTACAAATTATAATACTTAATAATTTTATTAAATATCTATGCCAAAAACTTTTTTTAATTCAATTAAAATAACAGTTAATCTTTAGGTTACAAAAACACATATCTATAATAAAATTACTGACCTTACTCTTTTTAACTATATAACTATAAACTCAATTTAATATAGCATCTATAGCCATCTAACTATATTTATATTTATTTCTATAACACCTCTTATTATTCTATTAATTATTATATCTGAACATACTTTTATTCTAATCCAAATTGGCTCAATTAATTAGACTAACTATTCTAACCTAACAAGAAACTTGTCTTAATAGAAGTATTATAAAAAAATAACTTAAAAATCTTTAGACTCTCTAAAACACATTTATCTTTTAAAGAAGACAAATTTCTTAATAATCAAATCCAAAACTATACTAGTTTTTGAAGCTTATATACAAATCTCTATTAAGCTGATGTTGGTATTTTTGTATACAAATAATCTTCAAATATATTGCCAAATCTTATAACTATAATAGTTATATAATTGGTCCTAATATTTATTTTAAAAATACATCTATCAGACTTCTTTAAATATACTTCATAACTTATAAGAAAAAATACTTTTGCAGAAAAGTGCAAAACTACTTAATTTCTTTTATCTATAACAACAAATACAAATTAATTATTATAGGTAATCTAAATAGTGTTTCAATTCTAAGAATTAACAGATTCCTTTTAAAAAAATTATCAATTTCTAAAAGTCAAATAATCTAATATTTAACTAGTCTTCAATTTAAGGATATATTTACTAAGTTTTTTATTTCAATATCTCAAATTTTACTTTTAACTAAAATAATATACAAAGTTAAATTAATTAAATTTGAATCAACTTATTCATTACTAACATTAATTATTCAAATATTCTTCCAACTAACATAATCAAATCTGACTACCAAATAACAACTTTTAAAATTTTTATTATAATTAATAAATTTAAACCTTATAAACAATATAAATATAAAGTCTTTTATTGAAAAAACTATATTAAAGAAAATCTTAAAAGCTATAATGATCAAAATATCAAAAATCTTCAATACTTATTCTTAAAAGTTTTATTAATCTCAAACTGAAATAACCTTAACACTATATAGTATCTATTTTTCTAATATTTTTTTCTTATTCCAAACTAACAAAACTTTCTAAATTTACTAATTTAGACTTGTTTTAAAACCCTTAATATACAATTAAAGATTTTTTTCTTCTAATAAATTTTGGTAATCTAGTTAGTTATATGCTTCTTAATATATATTTTTTGTTTAGTTTATCTAATTGTTTCTTCTAAGACTTCTATCTGTCTAATAGTATTGTTAAAAATTTATATTATCTTTTTACTTAAAATTTTTAAGTTGAATTTTGTTTTTTTAGTTTCTTAATTTTTTTTATCTAATAGACTTATTATAAATTTGTATTAAAATCTTATACAATACTAATTTTAACATTTTTTATTTATATATAATATTACATCTTGCATATTTAAAATTGCAAATATATTAATTTAACTAATCATCAAGAGACAGTTTACTATAGCATAGATATAATTTTCAAGTTTTATTATAAGTAAAATTTAAATACTAAATCTGTTATTTGGAGTTAACAATTTAACAATACTTCAAGTTATTACATTTTAATTAGTAGATATAATTAAGTATTTTGTTATTTAATTGACTATATAATTTTATATACAAAGTAATTATTTCTATTAATCATATTACTTATTATTATTCTAGTTTTAATATAAAAAATATATAAGTTAACTATCAAATTTAAATTGTACCAATAGTATAAAAGTTTTTCCAAAACAATAGTAATATTTGATACTAATTATTTAAATTAAAAAAGAAATTTATATTAAAAAACTTATAAATATAACTCAAAAATGTTTATTAACCAACAAAACAATTAACAGCTTAATTAAACTTAAATAATTCTTTATATAATTTAGTTGATTAAATTATTATTCTGGTTTAGCAAATGAAAGCTGTGCTTTTTCTACAAGAAAATGATTCTGTTAATCCTGTAAACTTAATACTATACTATATTAAGTATTTTAAAAAGGTAGCCAAAACCTGATAATATGATTTAAGAATGTTGAAAAAGTTTTTGAAGCTAATCTTATATTCTTTTTACAAAAAACTTTGTAATTATGCCAATGTTTAAAGACCCTGCTGCCCTCTAGTAGATTACTAAAAGAAATTAGCAATTCATAATTAATTGATAACATGACCCATTAATACCATAACAAAGTTTTAGTACTTACTTTTTTGCAAATTTCAGAATATCTAAATTGGAAAAAAATGCTTCATTTAGTTAACTCAAAAGAAACAATTAATTGGTAAAAGTGTAAATCAATACAATATAGCAATTGAAGAAATGCTTTAATGAGTGAAATTAGAAGACTATTAGTATCTAAATAAGGCAAAAGTCAGATGTTTATTAATAGACTTAATCCAGAATTATTTGTAACCATATTACTTTTAATTTCTAATATATTAGAAAAAGAATATACTAGAACAAAAGTATTAAAAAGTGCTTATAAAAAAGAGACCACTTATACTACTTCTTCTGACCAGTCTATTGTACCTTCACTACATCAAATACTTAATTCTGTGAATAGTTCAAATACTAGTTCTAATATGAACAAAATAGCAAAAACTTTAAAAACTTTAATGAATAGCATAAGGAAATTATTGTTCCAACTTCAGATTAGCAGAGATTACCAACTCATCTTTAATCTGAAAATTCAACTATACTTGTTTTATTTAATTAAAAAAAAGTTAATTTCTGATAGACACCATCAAACTTACGTCTAAACTACAGTGTTATGTCAAAAATCTTGGCTACAGCGAATGTCGGCTATTATGACATACGTCTGCCACGGCACTTTGACGTAACTTCGTGTCTATTTGACGTAACCGCATACTCCCAAGTTTCTGCACCTATAGTCTTTAGCAATTTTAATTTTTTATCTATAAAATTTTTTAAAGATACGATAAAAAGCTGGTTTTTCGGTATTTTAAAATTTTTATGTTATGAGAACTAATTTTTTAGGTTTGTATAGCTTAATTGTCATGAAATTTTTTATTTATAAATATTAACATCAGGTGTTGGGACAACATCTTCGTTAATGTAAAATTTTGGAACATCACGAGCATAAGTACCAGGCGTCGGAATAACATTGGTTTTAGTGTAATGCCTTGGAATATTAACTGTATAAGTTCCAGGCGTTGGGATCGGTTTATCACGACGATTTTTTGATTTTATAAAGTATAAAGTTCCAGCAATTATGCTGATAAAAATAAATACGGATACAGCAATGATTGCAATGACAATGCCACTTATTCCCTGATTTGTTGAAGATGGATTCGTTTTAAACGAATCTGGTTGACTCGAAGAGATCCAAACATAATTTTGAACATCAAATAAATAAAGATTATTATTTGATGATCGTGTAGAGGTCTGAAGTCCTAAATATATATAAAATATATATTGAAAATATTGATAAATATAATATTTATAAAACATTAAACCAAATTACAATTAATATAGATTTAAAAGCATTAATAAAATGAATTAATTACCAAATACAATAAACATAATGTTATTATATAATGCTGCAGAATGATAACAAAGTGATGGTGGTGCATTTTCTGAAGAAATATTCGGAACCGACCATTTATACGGTGAAACATTCGTATCCAATATTGCAAGGTTAGGTAAAGCACTGATAATGTAGTCGCTATTTATATCATTTGCCGAATTTCCACCAAATAATATTATACGTCTGTCATAAGCTATAATGGTAAAAATGAAATTAAACATTAATGATTGCAGTGTAAAAATTACAATATTATAAAAATTTAATATATTTACTTAATACAGTAGTATGAGAATTTCGTGATGTAACCATATCACCATAAGCTTGCTAAAAAAAAACAAGTATTATGCATAAGATCGTTTAATATTATTTGTTTTTGTTTTTTTTAAGAAATTTTAAAATTTCTCGGCAGATGTTGGAAAAATTAAATACAATACCATTTTAGACCAGCTCAAGGAATTAGTATCGAAAATTTGTATCTACATTTAATTCCGAACGTTATAATTGATATTCATCTCTCATATGTAATAAACTTAAATTCACTATACCTCATTCATATCAACATTAGTATTAAGATTATTAGTAAATTGTAATCCACCTATATAAATTATGAGGCTATTATCTAATAAATTAGCAGTATAACCTCCACGAGGTGTTGGAATATTTGCAGTAGTGTTGAGCTGAGACCATTTTAATGTGTTTACATTAAGTATATTCATATAATTGATGTAATTTCCATTACGTTGTGAATTAACAATAGATTCTACTTGGAACCCACCAAAAATAAAAATATTTCCATTATTTGCTATGATAGCATTCATACGAGTCAACGTTAAAGATGTATTATAAAATCCAGTAGTAGTCGTCGTGGTCCATTGTAATCTATTGGGATTAAATGTGTATACCAGTGAAGGAGGATAAATTACGTTTAGCCCTGCTTGATCAGTGGAAAGTCCACCAATTAAGAAAATATTTGATCCATTTATAGAATTAAGGCATGATGTAGCAAGGAATTCTTTTATAGGAGTTCCCGAAGAAACACTCCATGGAGGTGAATTTGTTTCAAATTTTTTTGCCAAATCAAGATATACCACCTCATTTGTATAACTACCTCCAATAATGCCACCTAAAATATAAAACTTGCTGCCATTTAAGACACTAGTTTGATAATATCTTGAAGAAGGATTATACTGGCAAATCACAAATGTTGATAAAATACTCAATACATAATACGCATTAAAAAAGCTTCGAATACAGTTCATTTTTTTAATTTAAACTTTGAAAGAATTGACCAAACTTAATTATCTCTGATGCAATTTTAATATGTTCTACATATGACGTAATTAAATTATGTTGCTTCTTTAAATGGCTATCCTTTTCCATATTTTGTTTCTGTGTTATGTGTTTCCCAGTATGGTAGGCATCATCTATAACAGAAATTCAAACTACGTAATAGTGACAAATAATCTTTTTTATGACAACATTACTGAATAAACATTTCTGAGTATTTCATATGCAATTGTACTTGAAAATATCATAATTTGCCAAAACTATCGAGAACAGTTTTATAACTGTTTTCATAAATTATGGGACACCTGACAAAAAACCAGCCGAATGATTTGTTGATAGATGCAGTTAAGTCGTTGATTTCGGCATAATAGAATCAATAACGGTTTTTTATTAACCCCAAGATAGTGGGGAGGTTTGAAGAACAATGAACCAACTCATTACATCAATTGATTAAGCGCTCGGCCTAAGTTAGAGTAAGTGTTAAGGTTAGGTGATAGTATAGTTTAGACCGATTTGTTTAGTGCTAGTAGCATGTCGTAAATGTGTACAAGGTTGATGACGCGGTCTCCTGAACTACGAATCTGATTTCAAAACAAACGTTCGTTCTGCGATAAATCGCTTATGGCTCAAAAATCATCATAAAAAACACACCTTTTGTGCTCTAAAAAAAGTTTTCGTTGAACAATTTTACTATATAAACTATCCACCTCTAGATTTTAACTTTGACTCTAACTCTAACCTTAACAAATTTTAAGAATTTAGCCAACCTTGTACACATTTACGATATGCGTGCTGGTAAACAAATGACATAATTGCGTGATGTGACGATCACTAGGAGGGAACGCCCATTGTTACACAAAATTGCAGATTTGCCGAAAATTTCCGATTTTGATCGTCCAATCAAAATAATCAATGTCACATGAAATAATAACCAATCAAATTATTTAAATTACGTATTTTAAATTAATTTAATTAAAGAATTATATAATAATTATGTCAGAAATTAAGATATTTTATTATAATTTTATAATTGCAAAAAGTTTTCTTTACATATTTTAATAAATCTTTTGCAAATTTTTCACTTATTCTATCTGCATTACTATATCTTTTTTTTTAGCTGTATTTTTATTATTCTCTTTGATTACTTTATTTTCAATAAATTTATTAGTCATACTTACTTTAAGTACATCAACATTTATTTTAACCTTAGCTTGAAGTAACCTAAATATATAAAACATTTAAATTGTAATATTTGTAAGCAATAAATATAGTAGTTATGCTCACATGTCAAAACATTATTATTATATAGATTATGAGTTCAATTGCAATAAATTAAATCATATAAAATAAACATATTTGGTTTCTTAAAAATAACAAAACCTCTTGGAAGGTGATGATCTATTATTTTATAATCCAGTAAAGATAGTTGATATAGACTAATTCAGTCAGTTGAAGATTTAATAACAGATTGCTTGTTATAATTTTGATATATTTTGGCAAATGTTTTTAAAAGCTATACAGAACATTTTTTTTTTTTTTTTTCAATATTAAGGTAACCTCTTTGGTCCGAGCTTTTTATTAATACTTATAGCAGGTACATGTTTTAAATAGACGTATCTATAATGAACTATTAGACGAATGTAAAACTGGTTACATGTGTAACTTTTCTATATTACCTATTTAAAAAGACCATCCGAGGGTTCCTCACCAGTTCTGTACCTAACACCCCTGTTTAAATGTTTCATTTAAACCCTCTGATCTAACTCTAGTATTAATTTTACCAGATCACAGACCCGGATCTATTCGTATTTGACCATAGGACTATAATCCTTAGACTATTTTTATTCTCAAGATAAATCTACCAGAATGAGCTATATTCCCTTTTACTGCTAACCTGGTTTGATGCTATGACTAGGGTCAACACTTGCAGTCAGAGTTATCTCTTAAATCACTATTACTTTTGTAAAGTTCACTCAGACTCTCCAGACTCCCAATCCAGATAGCCCAGTATGGTATACTTATATATTCTTTTCCTTTGGTGATTCTGATAACCTAGTTAGTCATGTGCTCCTCTATACATTTTTGTCATCCTGTTTATCTGACAGTTTCTATAAAGGTGTTTCATGGGCTTTCATCAGTTCAATAGCACTATCGAAAGTTTGTGCTACCTCTTTACTCAGGATTTCCAAGTGAGTTTCCATCTTTTTAGTTTCTTAAACTTCTAAGCCTAGGGGTCTTATTATGGATTTGCACCAAAGCCTTATACAATACTGGTTTTTATATTTCTCTATGTACATGTATTGTGTAATATTACACTTCATATAGATGCCCTGAGCTTCCAATGTCAGGTGGGGCCTGACTTGATATACCTAAGATTACAGATACTCAAAACTCAACTGATCAGTAGAGACAGTTACTGTAACATAGGTATAATTTCCAAAATTCATTGTCTGTAGGAATTGAACCTTAGATCTGCCACTTGGGAGTTGACAACCTATTCACTTCACTAGGTTGCCACACCCCTTATACAGAACACTTATTAGAGAGCATATTAATTATTTTGATATATATAAATATTTTACTAAATGAACAAAATTTTGTTGAAAAGTTTTATTATATTATTACTAAAAAATGAAATATGCTTTCTTTTATAATTATTTGTTTATAAAAAACTTGATAGTATAACTTTGAATAATACTATAAGCATTTTATACAGAATAATTATTAAGAAAAGCCAAATAATTAGTAATTGTATCAAGTATTAGATGATCAGCCTCTATCTAGTAAAAAATATTAAAGAAAAACTATGCTTATAATTTTTTCAATTGAATCAAAAAAAAAATTAGACCAACAGCATATGCATGCCTTCTTATAAACTGTCCAGTCTTTTTTCTAATAATGTATAGCATAAACATTAAGAACTAATAAAAATAAATTACTTAATAAGTTAGTTAAATATAGAAATTTGATGTATTTATATATAAAACCAAATTTTAAATAAACTGTATCAGCAATATTAGATTATGTCATATATGCAATATGAAGAATTAAAGTAATTCTCTATAGATGTGGTGTCTTATTAGAATTTTTTTTTTGTTCTAAATACACTTATATAAAAATTAATAAATAAAAATTAATTTTTTTTATAAATGAGTTTACAGTCATTCAGAGACATATAAATAGAATCTATAATTAGCAATAATAATATAATAAACTGTAGAATAGTTTTATTGTTAAGAAGAAGTTGCTATGCAATAACAGTATAAATGAAGTATTAGCCTGGCCAATTTGCAATAACAGGAACTGATAATTAAAAAGATATATTTGAATTAGTTTCTAGAAATATATAATTTGAAAAAAATTACTATATTTATTAATACTTTTTAGTTTTTTTTAATAAAGTTAATTAGAATAGAACTGTGTATATGCCAATTATTTTTTTTCTTTTTGAGCCTATCATTATAGCTGTGTATTACTAGTCTATTTATTACCTATTCATT